GGTTGGGCCAAGCAACTTCTCATCCCCAGTAAATCAAAGTGGAAAATCTTGCAACAGACTCTAAACCTAGAAGGCAACTATACCTGGAAGACAACTCAGAGAAGCAGTCATTTCTGTAAAGTTATAAATATTAGAAAGAAATGTACTCACCTAGGCATTTACAGGCATCAACCCAGGAATTAAACTATCTATCTATATATCTATATCTGTTTAATGTAGGTATCTATATCTATATGATGAAAAGACAGTGAAACAAGACAGTCCAGGCAGCCAGCTCACAAAAGCAAAGCCAAGGTACACCGTCATGAAATAATTTGCAAGCCACCCCCTGACCTCTCTGAAGTGGTAACAACAAAGCAAATGAACAGAGGCTCTAGAAAAACCTCAAATCAGAAGTATAATTTATCAGATAATTACAAATACTCTGACTGTAATGAGAGGGATGCTTAGGACTCCAGAGAAGGGACAGATACAAAACTGCCAAGAATGATGGGACAACAGTGTTGGAAGCGAGGGTAAGTATTCTGAGGGGAATTAGTGGCAATGTGTCATTTACTGTATTTTTTTTTTAATTGGGCATTCACTACATATTTTGAGATATGTGTATATATGCATAAATATGCATAAATGTATACTATTTATCTAAAATTAATGATCCATCCAAGTGATCCATCTAAGACTAGTGAAATCTGAAGTTGGAGTTGGAGCCCACGGTTGAGTCACTTATGAAAGTGCTTAGGAAAGATGATACACAGACTGGAGAGCTACTACTTCTCAACAATTCAAAGATGTGCAAAGACGTGCCCTTTGGGTGCTGTCATGCAAGGAACTTCAAGGAAACCTAAACCCCCAGAGCCACACTGATGCTCAACTAGAAAATAATACCAGGGGGTAATTTAGAAAGCACTTGTGACTATTGATTTATTATGGCCGACAAGGTTAGCTCACCGGTGAAATAACTCAACCCAGGCAGGTGGGCTGCATGCTCACTTACCAAAGTTCCTTTTCCACTCCATGACATCATCTAGAGACTCTGGACTGTCAGCATGCATGGCTAGGGGCTACATCTACCAGGTATAATTATTTTATTCATTCTGCTTATCTAAATTATTTACTACTTTGATATAGATATGAGTGGCCCCATAAATAAGGCTCCCTGGGACAAAGCCCTGCAAGCTGTTCTTCCAGGATTCTACCTGAGAAAGAAAAACACGCAAAACAAAGAGCATTTTGAAATAAGGTTTCCACTTTAAATTACTGTTTTGGTATACATAGAATGAATTTTTCCATGTTTAAGTAAATATACATGCAATGCAATCCTTTTCTGAAAGGACCTAGAGGTGGAAAATCTTTACATTAGTTCTTATTGGGAAAAACCAAGATTATAGTAATTACTTTCATCTCGGGGATGTGCTGCACATACATATCATATCTTGATCCTTTTTCATTTTAAATTTATTTTTTCTCAAATTTTTATTACCATATATTTTGTGATACACTGTAAATACATTCATCAAGGGGAACCATCTCAGATAACCACAGTGACTTAGAAAAAGGAAAAGAAGACACATTTTAATATCCTAGTGAGATGCTTGAGTGGAAATTCCTCCAGAATTTATGTCTTCCAGAAGATACTTTAAAATATCCTGAAAAATAGGAAAAAGAACAGTAGCACTATGGAGATAAGCACTCAGGACAGCAGACTGCTAAACGCGATGTACTCTCTAGAAAGCACACTGCAAAGGCATCAAGGACGAAAGGGCATCAGTGAAATACCAGGTGTCGTCTTCAGTTCTGCTTCCAATATTTATGTATGTAAGCTCTACATATTAGATGATATATTTATATCGTATAAGTAAAACTTACGTACGCAGACTTTGAACTTTATAATACTATAGAAATAAAGGCATAAGACAATTTAAGGGCCAATGATCACTAACCATCATTGTTCCTGCCTTTAAAATGCTGAAGAATTCTAGAGTTCTAGTAAAGCGCTTGATCCTGCACTTCTGCGGCCTATATCCTGGGGCACATACTCCGTAGTTCATCTTTGAGACCCTGTGGGGACACAGAGATCTCCCTACCTGAGGGAGCTGTAGGGTATGAGTTTCAGAGTCACAAAGGAACCTACTTGGGTTTCTGCGTGTGCTTTGGCCCCTCTTCCATCTCCTCAGCCCTTCTCTTCAAAGGCTGGGACCCAGTGACACAAAACTGAAGCTCATGTGTGCATGCATGGACAGCAGGTAGAAGTCACTGACAAAGACACACACCAGCCCCAAGCAAAGGAGCCCCCCCCCCGGGGTTTTATTCAGTCCTACAAACAGATCAGACTCAAACTCACCATCTGCTACGAAATCTCTTAGGAAGCATCTGCACTCTCGCTTTGTCTCTGCGCCGAATGTGCTTGCTTCGCTTTGGTTCCAGAGAAATGAGATGTCTCAGGAAGCATGGCGGCCACCTCTAGACTCCCTCCACTGGGCTCTGATACTGTCTCTTGTAATGATTCTTCAGCTGCCCCTGGCCCTGCTTTGGCTTGTGCTGAGCCTCCAGGCTGAGCAGCCTCTACATCTCCTCCCTCCCCATCCTGCCCTAGCCTCTGGGCCTCCCCTCCCCCCTTGGAAGGTTCTAGAAGCACGCCCATCCCAGTCTCTGATGCAGAAGCTTCCTTCTCTGCCCCCCTGCTCCACACCATCTCCTCTACCACCACCTTCTCCTCAGCCACTATTTTCCTTAGTTCCTCTTCCCCCTTGAGTCTGATTTCCTCCCTAGCAACATCTGAAGAGGAGGCGGTAGTATTTGCTGTTTTCCCCTCAACTGTCTTCAGATCTGCCAACACCTCCTTGCTCTCTGCAACTGTCCCTGCCAGTCCTCTTTCTTCCTCGGCTATATCCGACTCTCCTTGTGAGGTCCCTTCCCTCTCTGTGCTGCTGTCCTCCCTCCTTCCTGTCTCCAGCATGAACTCCTCCTCCTCCTCCTCCTCCTCC